CTGTGGCTCACCGTACACAAGGTTCAGGTGCCTGGTGGATACTGTGGCTCACCGTACACAAGGTTCAGGTGCCTGGTGGATACAGTGGCTCCCCGTACACAAGGTGTAGTGCCTGGTGGATACAGTGGCTCACCGTACACAAGGTTCAGGTGCCTGGTGGATACTGTGGCTCCCCGTACCGTACACAAGGTTCAGGTGCCTGGTGGATACTGTGGCTCTACACAAGGTTCAGGTGCCTGGTGGATACTGTGGCTCTGTGGCTCCGTACACAAGGTTCAGTGCCTGGTGGATACTGTGCCTGGTGGATACTGTGGCTCCCCGTACACAAGGTGTAGTGCCTGGTGGATACTGTGGCTCCCCGTACACAAGGTGTAGTGCCTGGTGGATACTGTGGCTCCCCGTACACAAGGTTCAGGTGCCTGGTGGATACTGTGGCTCCCCGTACACAAGGTGTAGTGCCTGGTGGATACAGTGGCTCCCCGTACACAAGGTGTAGTGCCTGGTGTAGTGCCTGGATACTGTGGCTCCCCGTACACAAGGTGTAGTGCCTGGTGGATACTGTGGCTCCCCGTACACAAGGTGTATTGCCTGGTGGATACAGTGGCTCTACACAAGGTTCAGGTGCCTGGTGGATACTGTGGCTCACCGTACACAAGGTTCAGGTGCCTGGTGGATACAGTGGCCCCCGTACACAAGGTTCAGGATACTGTGGCTCCCCGTACACAAGGTTCAGGTGCCTGGTGGATACTGTGCCCCCGTGGTGGATACTGTGGCTCCCCGTACACAAGGTTCAGGTGCCTGGTGGATACTGTGGCTCCCCGTACACAAGGTTCAGGTGCCTGGTGGAGTGCCTGGTGGATACTGTGGCTCCCCGTACACAAGGTGTAGTGCCTGGTGGATACTGTGGCTCCCCGTACACAAGGTGTAGTGCCTGGTGGATACTGTGGCTCCCCGTACACAAGGTTCAGGTGCCTGGTGGATACTGTGGCTCCCCGTACACAAGGTAGGTGCCTGGTGGATACTGTGGCTCAACACAAGGTGTAGTGCCTGGTGGATACTGTGGCTCCCCGTACACAAGGTCCCCGTAGGTGCCTGGTGGATACTGTGGCTACACAAGGTTCAGGTGCCTGGTGGATACTGTGGCTCCCCGTACATAAGGTTCAGGTGCCTGGTGGATACTGTGGCTCCCCGTACACAAGGTGAAGTGCCTGGTGGAGTGGCTCACCGTACCTGTAGTGGATACTGTGGCTCCCCACAAGTACACAACAAGGTTCAGTAGTGGCTCACCGTGGTGTAGTGCCTGATGGATACTGTGGCTCCCCGTAGGTGCCTGGTGGATACAGTGGCTCCCCGTACACAAGGTTCAGGTGCCTGGTGGATATTGTGGCCTGGTGGTGCCTGGTGGATACTGTGGCTCACCGTACACAAGGTGTAGTGCCTGGTGGATACTGTGGCTCCCCGTACACAAGGTTCAGGTGCCTGGTGGATACTGTGGCTCCCCGTACACAAGGTGTAGTGCCTGGTGGATACTGTGGCTCCCCGTACACAAGGTGTAGTGCCTGGTGGATACTGTGGCTCCCCGTACACAAGGTTCAGTAGTGCCTGGTGGATACTGTGGCTCCCCGTACACAAGGTTCAGTAGTGCCTGGTGGATACTGTGGCTCACCGTACACAAGGTGTAGTGCCTGGTGGATACTGTGGCTCCCCGTACACAAGGTGTAGTGCCTGGTGGATACTGTGGCTCCCCGTACACAAGGTGTAGTGCCTGGTGGATACTGTGGCTCCCCGTACACAAGGTGTAGTGCCTGGTGGATACTGTGGCTCCCCGTACACAAGGTTCAGGTGCCTGGTGGATACTGTGGCTCACCGTACACAAGGTAGTGCCTGGTGGAGTGGCTGCCTGGTGGATACTGTGGCTCCCCGTACACAAGGTTCAGTGCCTGGTGGATACTGTGGCTCCCCGTACACAAGGTGTAGTGCCTGGTGGATACTGTGGCTCCCCGTACACAAGGTTCAGGTGCCTGGTGGATACTGTGGCTCCCCGTACACAAGGTTCAGGTGCCTGGTGGATACTGTGGCTCCCCGTACACAAGGTGTAGTGCCTGGTGGATACTGTGGCTCCCCGTACACAAGGTGTAGTGCCTGGTGGATACTGTGGCTCCCCGTACACAAGGTGTAGTGCCTGGTGGATACTGTGTGGCTCCCTGTGGCTCCCCGTACACAAGGTGTAGTGCCTGGTGGATACTGTGGCTCCCCGTACACAAGGTGTAGTGCCTGGTGGATACTGTGGCTCCCCGTACACAAGGTGTAGTGCCTGGTGGATACTGTGGCTCCCCGTACACAAGGTGTAGTGCCTGGTGGATACTGTGGCTCACCGTACACAAGGTTCAGGTGCCTGGTGGATACTGTGGCTCCCGTACACAAGTACACAAGGTTCAGGTGCCTGGTGGATGCCTGGTGGATACTGTGGCTCACCGTACACAAGGTTCAGGTGCCTGGTGGATACTGTGGCTCCCCGTACACAAGGTTCAGGCCTGGTGGATACTGTGGCTGGGTGGATACTGTGGCTCCCCGTACACAAGGTTCAGGTGCCTGGTGGATACTGTGGCTCCCCGTACACAAGGTGTAGTGCCTGGTGGATACTGTGGCTCCCCGTACACAAGGTGTAGTGCCTGGTGGATACTGTGGCTCCCCGTACACAAGGTGTAGTGCCTGGTGGATACTGTGGCTCCCCGTACACAAGGTGTAGTGCCTGGTGGATACTGTGGCTCCCCGTACACAAGGTGTAGTGCCTGGTGGATACTGTGGCTCCCCGTACACAAGGTGTAGTGCCTGGTGGATACTGTGGCTCCCCGTACACAAGGTGTAGTGCCTGGTGGATACTGTGGCTCCCCGTACACAAGGTGTAGTGCCTGGTGGATACTGTGGCTCCCCGTACACAAGGTGTAGTGCCTGGTGGATACTGTGGCTCACCGTACACAAGGTTCAGGTGCCTGGTGGATACTGTGGCTCCCCGTACACAAGGTGTAGTGCCTGGTGGATACTGTGGCTCCCCGTACACAAGGTTCAGGTGCCTGGTGGATACTGTGGCTCCCCGTACACAAGGTGTAGTGCCTGGTGGATACTGTGGCTCCCCGTACACAAGGTTCAGGTGCCTGGTGGATACTGTGGCTCCCCGTACACAAGGTTCAGGTGCCTGGTGGATACTGTGGCTCCCCGTACACAAGGTGTAGTGCCTGGTGGATACTGTGGCTCCCCGTACACAAGGTTCAGGTGCCTGGTGGATACTGTGGCTCCCCGTACACAAGGTGTAGTGCCTGGTGGATACTGTGGCTCACCGTACACAAGGTGTAGTGCCTGGTGGATACTGTGGCTCCCCGTACACAAGGTGTAGTGCCTGGTGGATACTGTGGCTCCCCGTACACAAGGTTCAGGTGCCTGGTGGATACTGTGGCTCACCGTACACAAGGTGTAGTGCCTGGTGGATACTGTGGCTCCCCGTACACAAGGTTCAGGTGCCTGGTGGATACTGTGGCTCACCGTACACAAGGTGTAGTGCCTGGTGGATACTGTGGCTCCCCGTACACAAGGTGTAGTGCCTGGTGGATACTGTGGCTCCCCGTACACAAGGTTCAGGTGCCTGGTGGATACTGTGGCTCACCGTACACAAGGTGTAGTGCCTGGTGGATACTGTGGCTCCCCGTACACAAGGTTCAGGTGCCTGGTGGATACTGTGGCTCCCCGTACACAAGGTGTAGTGCCTGGTGGATACTGTGGCTCCCCGTACACAAGGTGTAGTGCCTGGTGGATACTGTGGCTCACTGTACACAAGGTTCAGGTACCTGGTGGATACTGTGGCTCACCGTACACAAGGTTCAAGTGCCTGTGGATACTGTGGCCTACACAAGGTGGATACTGTGGCTCCCCGTACACAAGGTTCAGGTGCCTGGTGGATACTGTGGCTCACCGTACACAAGGTTCAGGTGCCTGGTGGATACTGTGGCTCCCCGTACACAAGGTGTAGTGCCTGGTGGATACTGTGGCTCCCCGTACACAAGGTTCAGGTGCCTGGTGGATACTGTGGCTCCCCGTACACAAGGTGTAGTGCCTGGTGGATACTGTGGTTCCCCGTACACAAGGTGTAGTGCCTGGTGGATACTGTGGCTCCCCGTACACAAGGTGTAGTGCCTGGTGGATACTGTGGCTCCCCGTACACAAGGTTCAGGTGCCTGGTGGATACTGTGGCTCCCCGTACACAAGGTTCAGGTGCCTGGTGGATACTGTGGCTCCCCGTACACAAGGTTCAGGTGCCTGGTGGATACTGTGGCTCACCGTACACAAGGTGTAGTGCCTGGTGGATACTGTGGCTCCCCGTACACAAGGTGCAGTGCCTGGTGGATACTGTGGCTCCCCGTACACAAGGTTCAGGTGGCTGGTGGATACTGTGGCTCACCGTACACAAGGTTCAGGTGGCTGGTGGATACTGTGGCTCACCGTACACAAGGTGTAGTGCCTGGTGGATACTGTAGCTCCCCGTACACAAGGTTCAGGTGCCTGGTGGATACTGTGGCTCCCCGTACATAAGGTTCAGATGCCTGGTGGATACTGTGGCTCCCAGTACACACACTTGTCCATCACCCAGTAGTGGTCGTCAAACAGTTGCATCGTGACAATGACTTAAGGCGTTGGAGTTCTCAGCCGCCGGGTATATTGTTGGTGAGGCTGGTGTAGGTGTGGTGAGGCTGGTGTAGGTGTGGTGAGGCTGGTGTAGGTGTGGTGAGGCTGGTGTAGGTGTGGTGAGGCTGGTGTAGGTGTGGTGAGGCTGGTGTAGGTGTGGTGAGGCTGGTGTAGGTGTGGTGAGGCTGGTGTGGGTGTGGTGAGGCTGGTGTAGGTGTGGTGAGGCTGCTGTAGGTGTGGTGAGGCTGGTGTAGGTGTGGTGAGGGCTAGCAGCGAGGCGGGGCGTGAGGGCCCCAGCAGCAGCGAGGCGGGGCGGTGAGGGCCCCAGCAGCAGCGAGGCGGGGCGGTGAAGGCCCCAGCAGCAGCGAGGCGGGGCGGTGAGGGGCCAGCAGCAGCGAGGCGGGGCGGTGAGGGCCCCAGCAGCAGCGAGGCGGGGCGGTGAGGGCCCCAGCAGCAGCGAGGCGGGGCGGTGAGGGCCCCAGCAGCAGCGAGGCGGGGCGGTGAGGGCCCCAGCAGCAGCGAGGCGGGGCGGTGAGGGGCCAGCAGCAGCGAGGCGGGGCGGTGAGGGGCCAGCAGCAGCGAGGCGGGGCGGTGAGGGCCCCAGCAGCAGCGAGGCGGGGCGGTGAGGGGCCAGCAGCAGCGAGGCGGGGCGGTGAGGGCCCCAGCAGCAGCGAGGCGGGGCGGTGAGGGGCCAGCAGCAGCGAGGCGGGGCGGTGAGGGCCCCAGCAGCAGCGAGGCGGGGCGGTGAGGGCCCCAGCCAGCAGCGAGGCGGGGCGGTGAGGGCCCCAGCAGCAGCGAGGCGGGGCAGTGAGGGCCCCAGCAGCGAGGCGGGGCGGTGAGGGCCCCAGCAGCAGCGAGGCGGGGCGGTGAGGGGCCAGCAGCGAGGCGGGGCGGTGAGGGCCCCAGCAGCGAGGCGGGGCGGTGAGGGCCCCAGCAGCAGCGAGGCGGGGCGGTGAGGGGCCCCAGCAGCAGCGAGGCGGGGCGGTGAGGGGCCAGCAGCAGCGAGGCGGGGCGGTGAGGGCCCCAGCAGCAGCGAGGCGGGGCGTGAGGGCCCCAGCAGCAGCGAGGCGGGGCGTGAGGGCCCCAGCAGCAGCGAGGCGGGGCGGTGAGGGCCCCAGCAGCGAGGCGGGGCGGTGAGGGCCCCAGCAGCAGCGAGGCGGGGCGGTGAGGGCCCCAGCAGCAGCGAGGCGGGGCGGTGAGGGTCCCAGCAGCAGCGAGGTGGGGCGGTGAGGGCCCCAGCAGCGAGGCGGGGCGGTGAGGACCCAGCAGCAGCGAGGCGGGGCGGTGAGGGCCCCAGCAGCGAGGCGGGGCGTGCAGGCAACTGATGCTGCAGGTCACCACGAGCAGCAGCAGCAGCAGCAGCAGCAGCTGCAGCTGAAGGTGCGCGTGCCGAAGGGTTGCCATGGTGACCCACCAGGGTGAGGGGAGGGTGGTGTCGGCGGCGGCCTCCCTCATCCCCTCAGTGTGCTTTCTGCTGTGCTCGGGGACTGTTGCATGCAGACCAGCCCGCAATGAGAGTCCTAGACCCGCCACACTGCTAAGGTAAGACCCCCCCCCTTGGTGTGTGGGGGTGAGGGCGTTGGGCAGCGGTGGTGGGCCCGGGGCGACGGTGGGCCCCTGCCCACCGTGGGTCCTCACGGTGGGCTGGATCAATACCCCGAGACCCTAAATGTGAACCCACCACCGCGCAACCCTGCCTGAGTGATGAGGATGGTGAAGCTTTCCGCCACGCCACCATACTCACCATACAGGCGGGTTGTGAGGCCCTCACTCACCATACAGGCGGGTTGTGAGGCCCTCACTCACTATACAGGCGGGGGTTGTGAGGGCCACTCACTCACCCATACAGGCGGGTTGTACCAGGCGGGTTGTGAGGGCCACCACTTACCATACAGGCGGGTTGTGAGGCCCTCACTCACCATGCCACACTCACCATACAGGCGGGTTGTGAGGTTGTGAGGTCCACACTCACCATACAGGCGGGTTGTGAGGCCCTCACTCACCATACAGGCGGGTTGTGAGGTCCACACTCACCATACAGGCGGGTCACTCATACAGGCGGGTTGTGAGGTCCACACTCACCATACAGGCGGGTTGTGAGGTCCACACTCACCATACAGGCGGGTTGTGAACACCACACTCACCATACAGGCGGGTTGTGAGGTCCACACTCACCATACAGGCGGGTTGTGAGGGCCACACTCACCATACAGGCGGGTTGTGAGGTCCACACTCACCATACAGGCGGGTTGTGAGGTCCACACTCACCATACAGGCGGGTTGTGAGGTCCACACTCACCATACAGGCGGGTTGTGAGGGCCACACTCACCATACAGGCGGTGAACACCACACTCACCATACAGGCGGGTTGAGAGGTCCACACTCACCATACAGGCGGGTTGTGAGGTCTTGTGAACACCACACTCACCATACAGGCGGGTTGTGAGGTCCACACATACAGGCGGGTTGTGAGGGCCTCACTCACCATACAGGCGGGTTGTGAGGCCCTCACTCACCATACAGGCCACACTCACCATACCAGGCGGGTTGTGAGGTCACCATACAGGCGGGTTGTGAACACCACACTACAGGGCGGGTTGTGAGGTCCACACTCACCATACAGGCGGGTTGTGAGGTCCACACTCACCATACAGGCGGGTTGTGAGGTCCACACTCACCATACAGGCGGGTTGTGAGGTCCACACTCACCATACAGGCGGGTTGTGAGGTCCACACTCACCATACAGGCGGGTTGTGAGGTCCACACTCACCATACAGGCGGGTTGTGAGGTCCACACTCACCATACAGGCGGGTTGTGAGGTCCACACTCACCATACAGGCGGGTTGTGAGGTCCACACTCACCATACAGGCGGGTTGTGAGGGCCACACTCACCATACAGGCGGGTTGTGAGGTTCACACACCATACTCACCATACAGGCGGGTTGTGAGGCCCTCACTCACCATACAGGCGGGTTGTGAGGGCCACACTCACCATACATACAGGCGGGTTGTGAGGGCCACACTCACCATACAGGCGGGTTGTGAGGGCCACACTCACCACACGGGTTGTGAGGGCCACCATACAGGCGGGTTGTGAGGGCCACACTCACCATACAGGCGGGTTGTGAGGGCCACACTCACCATACAGGCGGGTTGTGAGGCCCACACTCACCATACAGGCGGGTTGTGAACACCACACTCACCATACAGGCGGGTTGTGAGGTCCACACTCACCATACAGGCGGGTTGTGAACACCACACTCACCATACAGGCGGGTTGTGAACACCACACTCACCATACAGGCGGGTTGTGAGGTCCACACTCACCATACAGGCGGGTTGTGAGGTCCACACTCACCATACAGGCGGGTTGTGAACACCACACTCACCATACAGGCGGGTTGTGAGGTCCACACTCACCATACAGGCGGGTTGTGAGGTCCACACTCACCATACAGGCGGGTTGTGAGGTCCACACTCACCATACAGGCGGGTTGTGAGGGCCACACTCACCATACAGGCGGGTTGTGAGGGCCACTCTCACCATACAGGCGGGTTGTGAGGGCCACTCTCACCATACAGGCGGGTTGTGAGGTCCACACTCGCCGCACAGGCGTGTTGTGAGGTCCACACTCACCATCCAGGCGTGTTGTGAGGTCCACACTCACCATACAGGCGGGTTGTGAGGGCCACACTCACCATACAGGCGGGTTGTGAGGGCCACACTCACCATACAGGCGGGTTGTGAGGTCCACACTCACCATCCAGGCGGGTTGTGAGGGCCACACTCACCATACAGGCGGGTTGTGAGAGCCACACTCACCATACAGGCGGGTTGTGAGGTCCACACTCGCCGTACAGGCGGGTTGTGAGGCCCTCACTCGCCGTACAGGCGGGTTGTGAGTCACGGTGGTGGTGGTGGGCCGGGCTTGGTGAGTCACGGCGGTGGTGGTGGGCCGGGCTTGGTGAGTCACGGCGGTGGTGGTGGGCCGGGCTTGGTGAGTCACGGCGGTGGTGGTGGGCCGGGCTTGGTGAGTCACGGCGGTGGTGGTGGGCCGGGCTTGGTGAGTCACGGTGGTGGTGGTGGGCCGGGCTTGGTGATTCACGGTGGTGGTGGTGGGCCGGGCTTGGTGAGTCACGGTGGTGGTGGTGGGCCGGGCTTGGTGAGTCACGGCGGTGGTGGTGGGCCGGGCTTGGTGAGTCACGGCGGTGGTGGTGGGCCGGGCTTGGTGAGTCACGGCGGTGGTGGTGGGCCGGGCTTGGTGAGTCACGGTGGTGGGCGTGGGTCGGGCTTGGTGAGTCACGGTGGTGGGCGTGGGTCGGGCTTGGTGAGTCACGGCGGTGGTGGTGGGCCGGGCTTGGTGAGTCACGGTGGTGGTGGTGGGCCGGGCTTGGTGAGTCACGGTGGTGGGCGTGGGTCGGGCTTGGTGAGTCACGGCGGTGGTGGTGGGCCGGGCTTGGTGAGTCACGGTGGTGGTGGTGGGCCGGGCTTTCATTAGATTCCAAAGAGAATCCCATTCATCTGGACTCTAGGGGATTCGAACCGTGGCCCCCAGGTCTGTGAAGCCGAATCTCTATCGACCGAGCTATCGAGTAGTCTTAATACTGCTCAGGGTGGTGACCCCACACACGTGGGGTCTAGCGTTCGAGTCTCCTACAACCCAGATGAAAGCTAAAGTTTATTTCCACGAAAGTGTGGCTACGGGAGCTGAACCTCTACACCTTGAGCGACCTCAGTCGTCGACCTGGTACCCGGTGTTGCTAGGAGGTCGTGGCTAGGAGGTCGTGGCTAGGTCGTCGTGGGCTTGGAGGTTGTGGGCTAGTAGGTCGTGGCTAGGTCGTCGTGGGCTAGGAGGTCGTGGGCTAGTAAGTCGTGGGCTAATAGGTCGTGGCTAGGTCGTCGTGGGCTAGGAGGTCGTGGGCTATGAGGTCGTGGGCTACTAGGTCGTGGCTAGGTCGTCGTGGGCTTGGAGGTCGTGGGCTAGTAGGTCGTGGGCTAATAGGTCGTGGCTAGGTCGTCGTGGGCTAGGAGGTCGTGGGCTTAGGAGGTCGTGGGCTAGTAGGTCGTGGGCTAATAGGTCGTGGGCTAGGTGGTCGTGGGCTAGGAGGTCGTGGGCTAGTAGGTCGTGGGCTAGTAGGTCGTGGGCTAATAGGTCGTGGCTAGGTCGTCGTGGGCTAGGAGGTCGTGGGCTAATAGGTCGTGGCTAGGTCGTCGTGGGCTTGGAGGTCGTGGGCTAGTAGGTCGTGGGCTAGTAGGTCGTGGGCTAATAGGTCGTGGCTAGGTCGTCGTGGGCTAGTAGGTCGTGGGCTAATAGGTCGTGGCTAGGTCGTCGTGGGCTAGGAGGTCGTGGGCTAGTAGGTCGTGGGCTAATAGGTCGTGGCTAGGTCGTCGTGGGCTAGGAGGTCGTGGGCTTAGGAGGTCGTGGGCTAGTAGGTCGTGGGCTAATAGGTCGTGGCTAGGTCGTCGTGGGCTAGGAGGTCGTGGGCTAGTAGGTCGTGGGCTAGTAGGTCGTGGGCTAATAGGTCGTGGCTAGGTCGTCGTGGGCTAGGAGGTCGTGGGCTAATAGGTCGTGGCTAGGTCGTCGTGGGCTTGGAGGTCGTGGGCTAGTAGGTCGTGGGCTAGTAGGTCGTGGGCTAATAGGTCGTGGCTAGGTCGTCGTGGGCTAGTAGGTCGTGGGCTAATAGGTCGTGGCTAGGTCGTCGTGGGCTAGGAGGTCGTGGGCTAGTAGGTCGTGGGCTAATAGGTCGTGGCTAGGTCGTCGTGGGCTAGGAGGTCGTGGGCTTAGGAGGTCGTGGGCTAGTAGGTCGTGGGCTAATAGGTCGTGGCTAGGTCGTCGTGGGCTAGGAGGTCGTGGGCTAGGAGGCCAGGTCGTAGCAGAATGTAGCTAGGAGAGGAAACTAAACCCAAAAATATATAACCCCAATCCAACCTATGTGAGCTAAAGGCTAAATAGCGATTTTCAGTTCTTATTTTCGAGAATAGTGTTTACATATAAAGGTTTGAAGCGCCTATTTTTGGAGGCTCTTCAAGAAGCGCTACATTCTCCTTGTTCACATCCAGACAAAACAGCCATAGTTGTGTCTTTAGCTGGTCGTCGTAACATATCATTAGAACATTTAGTACTGTCTCTCTGAAGTTTTCAGGCTAAAGTCTGCCTGTACATACTGCCTCAAGATAACCTCAAGATAACCTCAAGATAACCCTACATGGCTGCTTGTGCAAAGAATCTGCTTCATCTGCTGCTTTGGTCTGCTTGACCAAAGCCAGAGCTCAATCCCCGCAAGCACAAATAGGTTAGTACAAGCAGCCATGCACGAAAGCATCCACGTTCACAAGCATCCGTGCAGGGGGGCTGGCTGGCTGAGTGGACAGCGCTCTAGGCTCGTGGATCTAGGGACCCGGGTTCGATCCCGGCAGCCGGCGGAAAAACAAATGGGCAGAGTTTCAGAGTTTCACCCTGATGCCCCTGTTACCTAGCAGTAAATATGTACCTGGGAGTAAGACAGCTTCTACGTGCTGCGTCCTGGGAGGGGGGGGGGGGGAATTAGTAGTTAGTAACAGTTGATTGATTGACAGTTGAGAGGCGGGCCGAAAGAGCAAAGCTCAACCCCCGCATACCACGAGTACAAAAGCGCGCGCGCACACAGAGAATGACAAAGAGGTGTGTGAGAAACTCAACAAAAGGTTCCAGGAGGTCTTTACAATAGAACAAGAAGTCACGGCGCTAGGAGAGGTGGCAGCAAACCAGGCGACCTTGGAAAGGTTCGAAATTACAAGAGATGAGGTCAAGAAGCACCTATTGGAGCTGGATGTGAGAAAAGCTGTTGGGCCGGATGGAATCTCACCATGGGTATTGAAAGTGTGTGCAGGAGCACTTTGCTTGCCACTCTCCATAGTGTATAGTAGGTCACTGGAAACGGGGGACCTACCAGAAATATGGAAGACTGCTAATGTGGTCCCAATATACATAAAGGGTGACAGACAAGAGGCACTGAACTACAGGCCAGTGTCCTTAACTTGTATACCATGCAAGGTGATGGAGAAGATTGTGAGAAAAACCCAGTAACACATCTGGAGAGACGAGAATTCTACGATCAGGTGACAAAGATTAAGCAAGAAACAGAAGGATGGGCGGACTGCATTTTTTTGGACTGTCGGAAAGCCTTTGACACAGTACCCCATAAAAGGTTGATGCATAAGCTGGAGAAACAGGCAGGAGTAACTGGTAGGGCGCTCCAGTGGATAAGGGAGTATCTAAGCAATAGGAAGCAGAGAGTTATAGTGAGGGGTGAGACCTCAGATTGGCATGAAGTCACCAGTGGAGTCCCACAGGGCTCTGTACTCGGACCTATCCTGTTTCTGATATACGTAAATGATCTCCCAGAGGGTATAGACTCATTCCTCTCAATGTTTGCTGACGACGCCAAAATTATGAGGAGGATTAAGACAGAGGAGGACAGCTTGAGACTTCAAGAAGACCTGGACAAGCTGCAGGAATGGTCGAACAAGTGGTTGTTAGTGTTTAACCCAAGCAAATGTAATGTAATGAAGATAGGGGTAGGAAGCAGGAGACCAGATACAAGGTACCATCTGGGAGATGAAATACTTCGGGAGTCAGAGAGAAAGAAAGATCTGGGGGTTGATATCACGCCAGACCTGTCCCCTGAAGCTCATATCAAGAGGATAACATCAGCGGCATATGCCAGGTTGGCTAACATAAGAACGGCATTTAGAAACTTGTGTAAGGAATCATTCAGAACATTATATACCACATATGTCAGACCAATCCTGGAGTATGCGGCTCCAGCATGGAGTCCATATCTAGTCAAGGATAAGACTAAACTGGAAAAGGTTCAAAGGTTTGCCACCAGACTAGTACCCAAGCTGAGAGGTATGAGCTACGAGGAGAGACTACGGGAATTAAACCTCACTTCGCTGGAAGACAGAAGAGTTAGGGGGGACATGATCACCACATTCAAGATTCTGAAGGGAATCGACAGGGTTGATAAAGACAGGCTATTTAACACAAGGGGAACACGCACAAGGGGACACAGGTGGAAACTGAGTGCCCAAATGAGCCACAGAGATATTAGAAAGAACTTTTTTAGTGTCAGAGTGGTTGACAAATGGAATGCATTAGGAAGTGATGTGGTGGAGGCTGACTCCATACACAGTTTCAAGTGTAGATATGATAGAGCCCAATAGGCTCAGGAACCTGTACACCAGTTGATTGACAGTTGAGAGGCGGGACCAAAGAGCCAGAGCTCAACCCCCGCAAGCAGAATTAGGTTTAGTGCGCGCGCGCACACGTGTACACACACAGGCACACCTACACACACACACACACGTACACACACACACGTACACACACACACACACACGTACACACACACACACACACACGTACACACACACACACGTACACACTCACACGTACACACACACACACACACACGTACACACACACACACACACGTACACACACACACACACGTACACACACACACGTACACACACACACACACACACACACACACACACACACACACACACACACACACACACACACACACGTACACACACACACACACGTACGTACACACACACACACACACACACACACACACACACACACACACACACACACACACACACTTACACGCACACACACACGCACACACACGCGCACACGCACACGCACACACACACACACACACACGTACACACACACACACACGTACACACACACACACACATACACACACACACACACACACACACACACACACACACACACACACACACACACCACACACACACGCAAATTTTGCACGCAAAATTAATGAGAAGAGTTGTGACACACCTCCAAGAGGACAAACAGGCTGCAGAGATGGTCACACACACCACACACACACACAATGAAGGGGAACAGCCTACCTGTAACGATTCGAGAAAGAGACCTGGGAGTGGATGTGACACCTAATCTAACTCCTGAGGCACATATAAATAGGATAACGACAGCAGCGTACTCTACACTGGCGAAAATTAGAACTTCATTCAGAAACCTAAATGAGGAAGCTTTTAGGGCACTTTACACTGCCTACGTGAGACCCGTCTTAGAGTATGCCGCGCCATCATGGAGCCCCCACCTGAAGAAACACATAAAGAAACTGGAGAAGGTTCAGAGGTTTGCGATGAGGCTTGTCCCAGAGTTACGAGGGATGGGATATGAAGAGCGGCTGAAGGAACTGAACCTAACGACACTAGAGAAAAGAAGGGAGAGAGGAGATATGATAGGGACATATAAAATACTCAGGGGAATTGATAAAGTGGAAATAGATGAAATGTTCACACGTAATAATAACAGAACGAGGGGACATGGGTGGAAACTGGAAACTCAGATGAGTCACAGAGATGTTAGGAAGTTTTCTTTTAGCGTGAGAGTAGTAGAAAAATGGAATGCACTTGGGGAACAGGTTGTGGAAGCAAATACTATTCATACTTTTAAAACTAGGTATGATAGGGAAATGGGACAGGAGTCATTGCTGTAAACAACCGATAGCTAGAAAGGCGGGATCCAAGAGTCAATGCTCGATCCTGCAAGCACATATAGGTGAGTACACACACGTACACACACACACACACGTACACACACACACACACGTACACACACACACACACACACACACACACACACACACACACACAAGAAGGCTTCAAGAAGACCTAGACAAGCTGAAGGAATGGTCGAACAAATGGTTGTTAGAGTTTAACCCAACCAAATGTAATGTAATGAAGATAGGTGTAGGGAGCAGGAGGCCAGATACAAGGTATCATCTGGGAGAGGAAATTCTTCAGGAGTCAGAGAAGGAAAAAGACTTGGGGGTTGATATCACGCCAGACCTGTCTCCTGCAGCACATATCAAGCGGATAACATCAGCGGCATATGCCAGGCTGGCCAACATACGAACGGCATTCAGAAACTTGTGTAAAGAATCATTCAGAACTTTGTATACCACATATGTCAGGCCAATCCTGGAGTATGCAGCCCCAGCATGGAGTCCATATCTAATCAAGGATAAGACTAAACTGGAAAAGGTTCAAAGGTTTGCCACCAGACTAACCCGAGCTGAGGGGTATGATCTACGAGGAGAGACTACGGGAATTAAACCTCACTTCGCTGGAAGACAGAAGAGTTAGGGGGGACATGATCACCACATTCAAGATTCTCAAGGGAATTGATAGGGTAGATAAAGACAGTCTATTTAACACAAGGGGAACACGCACAAGGGACACAGGTGGAAACTGAGTGCCCAAATGAGCCACAGAGATATTAGAAAGAACTTTTTTAGTGTCAGAGTGGTTGACAAATGGAATGCATTAGGGGGTGATGTGGTGGAGGCTGGCTCCATACACAGTTTCAAGTGTAGATATGACAGAGCCCGATAGGCTCAGGAACCTGTACACCTGTTGATTGACGGTTGAGAGGCGGGACCAAAGAGCCAGAGCTCAACCCCCGCAAACACAACTAGGTGAGTACAACTAGGTGAGTACACGTACACACACACACACACACAAACGTACACACACACACACACGTACACACACACACACACACACACACACACACACACACACACACACACACACACACACACACACACACACACACACACACACACACACACGTACACACACACACACGTACACACACACACACACACACACACACACACACCACACACACACACACACACACACACACACACACACACACACACACACACACACACACACGTACACACACACACACACACACACACACACACACACACACACACACACAGGAGAGAAGCTGGTAGACGTTATTGACAGGAATTTCCT